ACAAATAAAGCAATTATTCTGGAGAAATCTATGGGAAACCCTTTTGTTTGGAAAATCGTAGTGTTGTTTTGAGGAAAGGTTGATGCATTGCTACTAGATACATAGAAAATCAGCAAATATCAGAACCAAAATAGCTGCCAAACGCAAACCACCACCACATATTTATTAATAAAAAAAAGGTTTTACCGTTTACATCTCTCATACGAAATACATTAAATAACTTGCGCCGTAAGACACAAGATAACTAATAACCAAGATCAACATAAGCACACATTATCGTTTTTGAAGAGTGTATTATCGTTTTCCAAGCCTCAGCTCAGTTTCCAAAAAATAGAGACGCCTCGAATACTACTTTCCATTGCCGTAAATTTTGGCTGTAACTCATATATTTAATAATACAAAAATTTTTATATACAAAACCCATTACGTATAAAACCCTTTACACAAACACCTTTATACACAACATATTTTTACATACAAATATTTTTTCATACAAATTTACACACAAAAACTTTTACACACAAAAATATTTACATACACAAATTTTCAAACACAAAAAAAATATAAAAAAAATATATATAAATACCTTTACACAAAGGAATTTTTACATACAAACATTTTTTATATACAAATCCTTTAACAAAACCTACCAAATTCGCAAAAAAAACTCAATTTTTCACACTCGAATTTTATTTCCTGCGAAAGAATTGCCGCCGGACCAACCAAAATCACAAAAATATCTCAATTTTTAATAATCGAACCTCATTGTGTAAAAAAAAATTGCCGCCAAGGATGTTAAATCGTAATTTTACCCCAATATTTAATAATCGAACCTCATTTCATGCAAAAAAAATGCAGCCAAAAATATTAAATTATAATTTTACCTCAATGTTTAACCATCGAACCTCATTTCGTATAAAATAATGGTCATTTCGTGGCGCCTCGTCGGCACCGCCCGCGGCCTTAAAAAAGAAAAAAAAAAGAAGGAGAGAGACCGAGAGAGAGAGGGAAAGAGAGAGAAAGATAAGATGTGAAGATGTGAGGATAAGATGTGAAGATGTGCAGGTGGTATGTGTAGATCTGAAAATGAGAAGATGAAAAGATGTGAACATGTGAAGATGGTATGTGTAGATGTGAAGATGTAAAGATAATATGTGTAGATGTGAAGATAAGAAGATGAGAAGATGTGAAAATGTGAAGATGTAAAGATGTATAACAAACCCCCTTTATTAGAAAAACCCTTCGCTCAGACGCTCTCAGCTCTCAGGAATAAACATATATAAATTTATTTATAATATGCTAATACATTCTTCAAAACTACCCGCATAGCCGTACTTACATCATAGAAAAAGATCCAATTATCCAAAATAATTTATATATCTATTTGAATTAAATCGATACCATATATAAATCAGCCTAATCGGAATAGTCAATATGAACTACAATTATATATATAAAAAAACTATTATTTAAGATATAAAATATATAATTATCAAAATGTATCAAATATATAATCAGATACGAAACTGTTCATTGTATGATGTTATTGTATTCGATTATATATTTGATTTGACTAAACGTCAATTGTATTGTTTTCGTGTCCTGTCCGTCTGATCAGCACATGCGGTCTCAAGCAAGGTTTGTTCCACCTCCACTAACTTCTGTCACCTGCCATCACCGCTCCGCATCATCAACAACAGACATGAGCATCTGATCAAAGAAAGAATTCAGCAATCACAACTGCCATCCAAAGCTTCAATCTTGCAAGTTTGAGACTTGGGACCATACTTTTGGAAAAAAACACACACAAATTTCAGCGTTTCGGGTTTTGGGTTCACAACTGATCCTATTTTTTTCAGGGGATCTTTGTTCTCATGGCACATTGCGTGGGGCACAAGGAAGGAAAAACATGGGAAAAAATCAAGCCGCAAGGCCTTAGGGCGAAAAGGCCTCAAGGTCAGCAGGTATCCCCGAGGGATTTTTCGATAACCACTAAGGCCAGGGCTGATAGGTTCGCGTACCCTTTAAAATGATAATTTTCAAAATATAGGTAAATCATCCGTAAATCGGCTATTTTCCATAGCAAAGTTATTTACCTCTTAGTTTACCGGAGGGTAGCTGGGATGATGAATCCTTGGATTGAGCACGAAATATATGGGATTATGGCAATGATCCCTCCAAATGCGAAAAGGGCGTGTGCATTTCTGATCCAATAAGAAACGTGCGGGGCCTGCGGGGCAAGTGCGGCAATCTCAGCCAGGTCCCAACTTTCAAGAATAACCCTTCGAATAATTAACCAGCAAAAATGTTATTCATTATTCAAATAGAACATGTTCATAATGGTGTTCTGATTGTAAAACAAAAACGATACAAATCATCTCCAAACTTGGGGTATAGAATGGCATGCAACCAATGGTTTCACGGTACTCAAGTAGACTTTTTTCGATCCTTTGTTTCCAACATATTTTTGGATCTAAGCGCCGTGCCCAACTTGAAGCTGTCATTGACAGTGATTGAGTCAGACCTCAGGTTTTTTGTGGTGATTTTTCTGGGTTGATTTTTTAGTTGGGGATGGGTCGTTTGTTACCTATGAACTTACCTTTTTTGGGGGGAATAACACCACATTACCCTCTGGTAATTTAACATAGCTATGGAAAATCACAATTTTCAATGGGAAAATCCACTATAAATATTAAATGACCATTTTCAATAGCTACGTTAAATTACCAGAGGGTAACCAACCAGATGACAAGTCGGGATACTTAGGGGTTCCCCATCCTGGTGCCAAGGTCTTGACCCAGAAGCGGATCTGATCTCACCTAGATGGCTAATCGATGAGCCATGATCATCATAACTTGATGTTGTTTAAAGTCTGCTGCATTGTTCCTGAGACACTATGATGATCATCGAATTATAACTATTATTGATTGTATTATCAATATTATAAATCGTCATATTACTTCAAAGGATTAATATTCATAATCCAAACAATCATTCAAACATTACCAATTGCAATCTTAGTCATCTTTGTACCCCGCGCGAGATTTAATCATTATGGCTCCTCATGGTCTTCCACCAATAATGGCAACAAACAAAATTACTTTACTTCGTGTGATCCCCACCATGACATTTATACATGTTCTTACTGGCACATCTTCTGGCATTCTATCTGACATATCTTCTGACATTCTATTTGGCATTCTATCTGGCATATCTTCTGGCATTCTATCTGACATATCTTCTGACATTCTATTGGCATTCTATCTGGCATATCTTCTGGCATTCTATCTGGCATTCTATCTGGCATATCTTCTGGCATATCTTCTATTCTGGCATATCTTCTGGCATTCTATCTGACATATCTTCTGACATTCTATCTGGCATATCTTCTGGCATTCTATCTGACATATCTTCTGGCATTCTATCTGGCATTCTATCTGCATATCTTCTGGCATATATTCTGACATATCTTCTGGCATTCTATCTGGCATATCTTCTGGAATATCTTCTGGCATATCTATCTGGCATATCTTCTGGCATATTTTCTGGCATTCTACCTGGCAAATCTTCTGGCACTCTATCTGACATTTTATCTTCCTACATGAGGTCCGGCAGGGAACACTTGGCGTGGATACTCGCGGTTGAGGTCCGGCAGGGAACACTGGGCGTGGATGGTCGTGGTTGAGGTCCGGCAGGGAACACTGGGCGTGGATGGTCGTGGTTGAGGTCCGGCAGGGAACACTGGGCGGGGATACTCGCGGTTGAGGTCCGGCAGGGAACACTGGGCGGTGATGGTCGTGGTTGAGGTCCGGCAGGGCACACTGAACGTGGATGGTCGTGGTTGAGGTCCGGCAGGACACACTGACATGGATCGCAGTGGAGCAGGAGGAGGAGAAGGAGGACGAGAAGGAGGAGGACGAGGACGAGGAGGAAGCAACTGACATAAAATCTAACAACCCTCACCTGGCAGGTGGGGAAAAAACATCGCATCAAGTTACAGGATGAGCCCCCCCAGTGATGTTTGTTGGTTTATAAACCATTATAAACCATTATAAACCCATAACTGTAGTTATATCATGTTATATCTATCATAAACCACCGAATTCAGCCACTGAAAGTCACTCAACTTCGCACGCGAACTCGACTAAAAGCCCCATCCTGTAGCCATCCAAGGATTCCCCTCGGAAACCATCTCCCAAAATGCCTGGTTTCATTTCCCATTGATGGCAAATCCTCCAGAAAGTGGATTAAATCAATATGAACCCACCCATTGGATATACCAACATTTAACCAACTTTGTTTAATGCAACCCATATTGAAAAACGAATATTTGGCCGATATTAAACATACATTGAAGTATATATTGTATAATTGCATACTAATGCTAACAACTATCCAGCTGAAATTATTAAAAAAAAAAACGCCAACGTGAAAATAGCTGAAACGCGCTGCCATTTGGGGATGATTCCCCTTCTTAAGCATCCCTGATGTCGGAATATGGATACCCCTTGCTCCGAACCGCTCCCTCCTAATCACTGGATTTTTTAACAACATGTAACAACTATACCGGACTGTACCCTCTGATTAATGTAACATAGCTATGGAAGCCATGGCCCATTGCCCATAGAAATAGATGAGAACAGAGAGTAGCATCCGAAGGTGAGGGATTTACTAAGCGTATGAATTTATACGGTTGATAGGGGTCGCCCTCTGGTAATTTCATATAGCCATGGAACATGGCCCATTTCTAGATGGTTTACCGTTTTAAAAAATGGCGATTCTCTATAGCTATGTGAAATAAGGTATAGGGTATTATCTCCCATTATATATGATTTTCCCATTATATACATCCCAATATTATCCCATGAGATAAAGTTTTCCGATTAAACCACCATGAAATTACCAGGGGGAAATCAAATTTAAATCCCATTAACTCATATTAAATCCTATAAAACTATCCCCCATGCTTAGACCATAGCCACCTGCGTCAGCCATTTCATACACAGATGGTCGTTTACAAAAAAAAACATGCTATAAGGGACTAATAACTAGGGGAATATTAAAATAGGGTATTACCCTCTGGTAAACTAACAGTTCGCTATGGAAAATCACCATGTGAAACACAAGTAAATCAACTTTTTTCTATGGCCATTTTCTATAAATACCATTGTCTGAATCAAAAATTAAATCCCATTAAATCAAATTGGAATCCCATTAAATCAAATTTGAATCCCATTAAATCATATTAAATCCTATGAAAATAGGCTATTACCAGGGGGGGTCTCAGGAAAAATCTTGCACCTCGACGCAAAGGACTTGTTTCGGGAGATGCTGCTGCGGTGCCAGGCCTAACCGGTTTAATGTTGGTGTTGACCAACAAAGATTGAGGGCTTGGATTCCATTGAGGGGTTAGAAACCATAGTAAAACCACAGGAACACCATAGGACAATCAGGATTTATATGTGATTTATATGTGATTTATGTGGTGATAGCTAAGTTGGTACATGCATGGTACATACGTGTTAAATCTGTTGAGACATGCTCAAACAAGTAAAATCCTTTCATTGATGCCCTATATTGATAATTGCACATGCCTTGACTACTCAGAATGAAAGTTACCATTCTGACATCCACATGCACAATGCCTACCTACCCGGGCAGATTCTTAAATCTTCTTACTTATCCACTGAAATCCAGTGAGCCAACTATGTCTAGAACTCAAGAGTCTGCTGCCACAACGTCTCAACACTATTGAAATCTTTAATAACATGCCCACCATATTTGATATGTAGTCAGTGTATGTCAGTATCGATTGTTGGGTCAGAAAAAACATGTTTCACAGCTTTTCTTTACGAAAGTCCCAGCCTCGTGCTGGGTAATCCTCCAGTTTTCCGACGATGAAGAACTCGCAACTTTTCTTGATGGACATACCATTTTTTACTATTTATTCTTATCTTTCCCTCAAGTAATCCACACCTTTCCTGAAACCACCCGCTTTTCCACAGTACCATCTGGTTGTTGAACATATCTATGGAACATTTCCCTGGTCCATTCATGGATGATTTCCCTATATGTACCCATGAAAGGTGGTGATTTTCACGGATAAATCCACCCTTTTTTTGGTCGAACATCGCAATTTTCCACAGTGCCTCGACCGCGACTTGGAGCGTGACTCCAGACGTCGGACCATGCGACGGGCCTGTGTGAATGGGGATCTGTCGCCAGATGTTTCTTGGGACATCATGGGAAAAACATGGGAAAAACATGGGAAAACAAATAGGAAAATGGAGTGGCAAACACATTTCATGTGCAAATATCACCAACAGTATGGGAATATCACCAACAGTGGTTTTGTTTGTGGTCTATCCCACTAGTTTTCATGGTGGATGTAAATCAAGAAACATAACTGGGTAATACTCAGTAATAAACAATACACATGTGGGCCCCAGTGATGGCTACCGATGGCGTTGGTTTGTCACCCCCATGATTTCTATCGTTACCATCAACCGAAGTTGTGGATTCTCTGAATTCTTGGATTCAATGGATATATATAGAATATATATATATATTCTATATGTGGAATTGAATTGTATTTTAGGTACCCATAGGTACCCCACTTTGCATCACGGAAATACAACCAACTGGCTGGACACCAGTGATGTGATCCCAGAATGGCTTTGAGATTTACTGAAGGCCCTATATTATTCCGAGATACTGATATTCTGAGATGCTGATATAAAAATCATGTTTAAAATAGTTTATAAAAAATTTAGGAGCCGCAAATTATATACCTTACATCTGCGGTTTTCCATGGATTTTCCCATCCACAATCACCAGGTGATCTTTTGCCACCGATAAATCGCTAGGGGATGATTAGGGATGATATGGAAGTGACCTATGCTGGGTGTGTGTCTGTTGTTTTTGCCATCAATCATATCAACTGGTTAAGAATGATACACAATCCATAACCATCCATAAACCGTAATTCTAGATATACATATAAATTATCACCAACGCAGCAGATTTGCCCTAATCAATAGAAAACACACATCATGAATATAATCTGGGATGAACCAAACAGGAGCGATCTATGACCCCGTCTGAACAACAAAACAAACATTTTCCTCTGTCACGCTTCCAAAATCTTCACGGCTCAGACGTCCCAACCTGCTCTTCATCCTCTTCTTCAGTCTGCAGGAAGAAGGACCTGCCGACCAAATTGTTCCCTGAGCAACATGTGAACAATGAAAAAACATGAACAAACATGAAAAAACGACTTTGCTTGGAGTTTTCCTGGAAGAAAAAGAGGGTCTTTGTCCGGTTCCGCGCTAGGCATCCAGAAGTTGCAGTTTGTGGATGTGAAAAAACTCTACACGGTTCCTTTCTAATGCACAAACCATCCTGAACTTCAACAGTCGACCCTGAGAGTTTCGCTTGAGCTCAAGGCTTCGTATAAAGAAATCTGGAAAATCTGGAATCCAATATGTCACATGTCTATATATTGTGATATATTGTGATTATATGAATCATGTTGGTGGTTTCAACAGTGTTGGTACACCAGGAATGTGTTACACATCCGAATGAAAAAATACGTCCCTTGATGACCCCAAGCAGGAAAGCAACAAGACCGAAACCACCAACCCAATATGAAGCACGCATCTGTTGGACAAAATAGGCATTTAGACCAAACATATGGGGCCCCAATCATTCATGAATCAATGGTCAGAAGTGAGTTTTCACTTTGCTATAATTTGCATAATACAGCTATGGGTCAAAACCCATTCAATACCCTTCCTGGTTGGTGGTATACCTACCCCCCTGAAAAATATAAGAGTCAGATTGGATCATCATCCCAACTATTGGGGAAAATCAAATTCATGTTCCAAATCACCAACCAGTTATATGTGCATATATATATATATTCACCTGGTTGGTGGTATACCTTCCCCTCTGACAAATATTGGTCAATGGGAAGGATGAACACCCATATATTATGGAACATAAAACATGTTTGAAACCACCAACCAGCCTTCTGTTCACTTCAAAAATCGCTAGTTCTGGATGTTTGAAACGCGCGAAACGACCTGGATGACCTGGTGAAAGGCCAATTACTACAAGGGTCCCTTCAGGTTTATAAAGCAACTTATAACTGGGGGGGACACATTGTATAGTTATTGTAGTATATAGATATATATTGTAGATCCTATATAATTATATATATCTATTCTGATGTTCAAGTTGCAAAAGGAAGTATTTTTTGATTCTATGAATAAAACTACCGACCAAGTCACTGATTGCATCCCTGATGTAATGCCATTATCTCCCATCCGGTGACATTATATGATACATATGATACATCCATTGTATGTAATGCAACCCTTCACCTTCATTCACAGTCACATCGCAAAACCTGGTTGATCAATCCACTACATAATCTGGGGACATCGGATTGTCCCACTTAGGAACAAGGATTATGGTTAAGCGTTAGGCATGGTCACTAGCTAATCCAGTAGGTTAATCATAATGATGCTAATTAGTTACTTTACTTTATTGGTTACTTACTTATAATGTTACTAGTCATAGTAACTGGCATAGTTACTAGTCATTCTTAATCCTTAGTTACCACTGTGACATACTGTGACTATGCTTCACCCTGGCAATCCCCAGGAACCCTGGGAGGATCCAACGAAACGGCCTGGCGAAGCCCTCACCGGTCTTGCGGAGGTTCTGCACCTGCATCTCATTGATACCTTTTTATACATGTGTATGGTACATATATACATATATAATATGTACAGTGTATATAATACATATATATATATTGTATATCATTGATTATCATTGTACTATACAATGTAGAACTTGTGACAAGAATGAGTCCGACATATGCATAGTGCAAAATCATATTCGCATGAAATGATGGGTACCTTTTCAACCGCCTGTTCAACAAGCCAAACACTCCCGCAAATCTTAGTTTGCTGAACTGTTGCCCAAAGCAATGAAATGAAATGTGACTATTGAGATTTCTCTGCTGTAGATGTTCCGATCACTGCTCGATTTTCAGATAGAAATCGATAACCGTGCGGTGACTCAACCCAATTCCACGCTACATTCTCCTACATTTTGCTGAATTTGAACATAATTTTGGAATATTTCGGATTTAATATATATATATATAAATGATATATGATGTTCATTCGTGCATATTGTAAATAAATCAATATATATATATATATCACACCATCTTATGTTTGGATAGTGAAGATCCCATGTTTCTACTCCGAAACAGGCCGTTTTGAGATCCTGAAAACCACCTCCGCTTCTGTTGTGAAGGCCACCGTGGATTGCCGGGCCAATGCCTGCGCGTTTCCACAGGGAATTCATCCCATCTGCCGATGAAGTTGGGATTTTTGTACTTCAAAATGGCATTCGAATGGGATGTTTGATGATTATGGTAATCCAATTGTTGATGATTATAGTTATATTATAGTTATATGATGATTATGGTCATAATCTAATTGATGTTGATTTGTGTACTTTCATGGTAATTCTGATAGTATTGATCACTTACTTCCCCTCCCGTGTCCTCGACCGTTTTCATCAACTCGGCATTTCGCGGATCTCGCGTTGGCTTTTTCGCAGCTGGCAGATGTCCAAGGGAAAATGGCGAGAAAGTCTTGCTATGCTTGGTGCAGCTTTTGGGGCGCAAATGCAAGATGAACTTCAGAAACTTCAAAGCTGGTTTTAAGTTTAAGGAACCCCATTGTAAGTACTGCATTGAAAAGGAAATAAGTAGATAAAAGTGTAGTGCTTATGGTGAATATATATATATATATATATTATATAAAAGCTTTCATCCCTATATAGTTTCACTGGATTTCCCATTGGGAAAATCCTCCACGCAAATCCCAGGGGTTTGTCTTAGGGGTCCGTCTGACTCAGCCAGGTTGCTTTTGTATGATATTGCTAATGTCATATGCATATATATAATATAACATTATGTATAACATATATAATATATTAATGTAAAAGATATTAAAACAAAATATGAATATGATATGATATAATATAATAAAATAATTCAATCTATTAACATAATATAACATAATATAGTACAATGAATATGTATATATATATATATGTTATATGCACATATCACAAAGATATGAACATATAGTGTATTAGCGAAAAACAAAAAACACATACATTATATAATTACTATAATTGAGGATCTTGTTTTGATCACTGACCTTGCTTTCCAACGCCATACTTGATCCTTATCTTGTTGTAAGTCTTCAGCTTTGAGTCACCTTGCTGTTTCAAGCTAACCCACCTCGAAGGTAGCGCAAGAAGTTATGGGTTGTTTGAGCATTCCTTGACTGTACAAAGAAAAAACTAAACCAATCAGCTCCAACTCAGTAGTGATGTGGTGAAATCCCATTTTTATCACACTCGTATCCCATCACATCCCATTGATCAACTATCATGTGGATCATGTGGATCGGAGCTGCTCCTTACCCCTATAACTCGGAGGGTTTAAATACATTGCACATTGGGCTTAAATATATATATATATATTATATACTATGACATATTATATACTATGACATACATTATTAATATATATATATATATTATGATATATATTCATAATATGTATATTACTATATATATAATAATAATAATAATAATTACAATAAAAATAATAATAATAATAATAATAAAAATAATAATAATAATATATATATACATACATTATCATATATATTATTATATATATATACATTATCATATATATTATTATTATATATATATGTATATTATTATACATATATATATATACATATTCTTAAATATGTATAGTATTATATATAATTATGATATAATATATATTATTATTATATATATATATATTATTATATATACACATATATTGACCAATTATATCCTGATTTCTCCCCATTTTTCAAGTGGAACTTAAGCCAGCTTCCGCCACCAGGCCGAGCCCTGCGAGGGGGCTCGTCCCGGTTCTATTCCCCTGACTTTGTCAGGGCCGAGCTACGTCAATGCAAGCTGGCGAGATGTCTACATGTTCTTGTGGATGCGGAGTCTATCGAAAATTGGGATTTAACTTCACCAGATTTAACCAAACTATCAAACATGGGATTCGACTATGATTTCTAAACTGTCGAACATTGGGATTCAACCATCAAACAGCCATCAAAAAGGCTGATTGGACCAATGAAGAATGGACTGGAGTTGTCAAAAAAAATCACAAAACCGGGTAAACCAGAATTTACAACTGTAAATCGTCATGTTTCAAATGTTTGCTTCAGTGTTTTTGGGAAATTTAGGTATCCAAAAGAATTGGATGGTGGAGAAATGAATTGCCGGAGGATACAACCCCCAAATAAGTACCCTCTGGTAAACTCTTACAGAACGAACTGGAAAATCACCATTGTTACTGGGTAAAGCAACGAACTAAATGGACATGTTCAATAGCTATGTTTGTTTACCAGAGGGTAGATTTCAAGAGGGATAGCCCGATCATGTTGAGGTTTCCCATTTACCCTCAATGAGGAGCCCAAAATAGATAGATCCAATCTCGGCAGCCAGGCACGAATTTCAAATCTGTCGTATCAGAGTTTCAAAAATTCTTGGAATGGTGAGGTCGAAGCACTGATGAAAACCCAACTCAACTAGTTTCTAGGATTTTTACCCATAATATAATATATATATATAATTATATATATATATGCACCTGTATCCCATAGTGGCAATAATGGTCTTCATATCTTTCTAGTACTCCTGACCCAACTCATGAACCAAAAACTATGCTCATCCAACTTTGTTGATGCTCATTTTCTATCTTTTTCTAATGTGGTATTCCTAATAACCCAAATAATAAACCATCCCTAATTTCACCAGAAATTGGGTTGTGTGAACCCTTCAAAGGTGGAGGTTTATTGTTGGCCTTACCACATCAATCATACCCTCTGGTAAATTAAAATATTTAATGCCCTTGGCATTATTTAAAATTGCCAATTTATTGGACATAGAATATAAACCCATTAAGTATAGTTCACTAAGTACCATAGAAAAAATCATGAAATTGGAGTTATAGACTCACCAACTATTCTATCCCACTTACATCACTGGTTGGTGGTATACCTACCCCTCTGAAAAATATGAAAGTCAGTTGGGATGATTCCATTCCCAACTGAATGGAAAGTCATAAAATTCCATGGTTCCAGTCACCACCAACCAACTAACATTCCTATGGAAAATCACCATTTTTAATGGGAAAACTCATCTGTAAATGGGCCATTTTCAATAGCCTCACTGAACTCACGGGAACGCAGGTCTCAACGCAAGGGGTGGAACCCGAGGGCCGCGAGGAGTGGAGCGTCGTGTGTCACGGTCGCGGGAACTTGGGACCCGCGGTGTCGATTTCATGTCCATCTCCCTGGACCGGAGATCAAGGATATATAGTGGACATAGAAATGAGAATTCAACACTATAATATATATACATATTTAAATTATATACATTAAAATAAATACAATATATGTCAAATTAAAAAATAAGATACACTATAATATGATATGACATAATCACATTGCGTCATAATATACATAATATAACATGATAAAAACCTGATATGATAGAACACAACAATACAGATATAACTGATATAACCAACTTGATATGATATTTGACGGTGTCTGAAAATGGAATAGTCATGAGGTACTGATGACATAGTGACATAGTGGACTTGAGTGGAGAATTATATGACCAACAATATGATGTGTGGGTGCGTCCTTAAAAATTCTGGGTTTACCCCAAAAATCATGGCATTTCTTCGAGGACAATGATGATCCACAATGGAGTAGAATGAACGTTTTCAGATACACGTTTAAATGTAATCAAACACATAGGGACAACAAATAGCAGGGGCCATCATGTTCAATGAACGATATGTACCTGGGTACATCTTGAGTTTCTGGTTATCCAAGTTATCCAATGGCTTAGAATCTTTTTTTTTGTTGAAGCAACCATCTGTGGGGATCCCTTCAATCCCTTGCCTGTTATGAAAACTCAGATTCCAAACCATTGGTGACATCCCCATTCTGGCCATCAATCCCCATCTGTTAAACACTATCATCGCTAATTATGCTCATGGCAATATCATGGTGATTCTTCGGTACTTGCCAAACAAATATCTAATTCTAACCTGGGACTGGTTCTACCATTGTACTAGTTAGATCGTTAGTTATCCCTATAGATTCTACCATTATGGTAGAATCTATAGGGATAATTAACTATCTAACTAGTACTAACTAATAATTTGCTATCAATGGTAGGACTATTGGTTAGTACTAGGACTGATGTGTTAGTATCTTACATAGGTTGACCCACTCATCCCCATTGCGCACTGCGCGCTGCACCGGCTGCACCGCACCTGGGCGTTGTCTTCTGCATCTCCAGGGGTTGATGCTGCAGGGGCACCCGTCCTTCAATCAGAATGGGCCTCAGTTCACCGTTCACGACGTTGATTCACAAGGAAAACTATAACAGTTAATAACAGATGCAGAAGATTGGAAAATAGCCCAATATTTTCCTAGTTTATTCACCTAGGTATTTAGCCCAACGTTTTACAACAGATGCAGACCGTTGTAAAATCCTAGGAAAACAATGGGCTAAATAACTATAGCAAACTCAAACTCAATAACTATAGCAATAATATCCGTTGAACCCATAAATAAATACATCCCAGAAGATTGGAAAAAATGTTCTGCATCTGATTCCCATCATCGAAGGGGATATGAGAAACACCACGTAATTATATGTATACATATCAAGTAGAAACATGGAATTTGAAGATATATTTCAAAAATGGTATTTGAAAATATAATTTTGCAGATATGTAAACAAATCAAGTAGAACATGACCAACACCTACAAATTGTGATTTGCGAACTGCAAAACTTGACATTGTGTCTAGACATCAAGAGTAATACTTGCTGACAAAAAACATATCGTATTATACCTGGGCTTCCCTACTTGAAAAGGGCACTATTTGCAGATCCAAAAATAACATATATAGCTATATATATATATATACATGTAATAGCATGTAATAACTGTTTTTGGTTATATATATATATATGTATATATATGTATATATATATATATATGTTATAGTCATATAGACATGTAAAAGTACACACATATGACACACGTAGCTCACATTCATCATTTTTAGATAGTCCCCGAATCCTACGGTCACGTTCATCTCAGTACCCGCACCTGGCATATCGCTGGACTAAAGATCCCAGTTGACCCTGAGCCTCAGTCGGAGTCGGAAGGGGTGTCCCCCAGAGCCGGAAAGTGTTCCAAATCCTGGACATGTGAGACCTGATTTCAGAAGTTCCAATGGGAGCATCTTGAAGCGCTGCCGGAAAGCGGCGCATGGCAATGTATGGCAGTGTGTGATAATGTATGGCATATGAAGTCAGCGTAACACATAGCATGGTCTTTGCCGGAAGGATCCACAAGAATCACCTGAGCAGTCTTCAAAAACCTTCTCATCCCTCTAAAAACTGGTTGGTTAACACGAACTGCCATGGATGATGGTAACCCATAAATTGTGTAGTATACTACCCTATAACCCTATATATATATATACATATGTGTATATAATAGTTATCAAAGGAAAGGGGTTTCGAACACTGCTCAGCTACATTTAATTTCCTTGCTGGTTTGTTGATAGCGTGCTGAGAGTTCAACTTTTGGTAGGATACATGCTAAACCTCATTCCAAAAGGACTAACATATCTAAGCATGCTAAGAATCCAAGTGCGTTGCTACAAAAAAAGTCCTTGCGTATATCCTTGCTTTTTATGGAACATCAGCTGGCTCAACAACTTTTTCAAGTCCTTTTAGCTATTGACCAATCTATGGATATCTATCCTGGTTGGTGGTTTCAACTCCTCTGAAAAATATTAGTCAGTCAGTTGGGATTATTATTCCGTATTATTCCATATATTGTTCCAAACCACCAACCAGTATCAATATGTGGCTTGATCTATGGATTTTGATCCTCATGTTCCCGTATACCTAAAATGGCCGTATCTTTTTGGTGTGGTATCCGATCTGCTCCCTGGACTAGCGGAGAGGGCGGGCTTTCATCCCAGCGCTTCAGGGAAACTGGCCCATCTCATCCATCTAGAGATCAATTCAAATAACATAAGATATGTCATTGCTAGCCTCACAAGTTCAGCTAAACCTAGAGAGTTCCGCCAATCCAATTCCCATCGTGACATAGTAGCTGTGAGGTCAAATCAAGTGGGCTCTATGGAACGCTAAGTTGGCAAAGAATCACTCAAACAACACATATCAAGTACGGTTTATGATACTAATTACAAACGTAATTCAATGTACCCTCTGGTAAATTAACATAGACACTGGCAGATAGGGGTTGGAAGACTAGTTTCCATTAAAAATTGGCTATTTTCAGGGTCTATGTTTATTTACCAGAGGGTAATTCATCATGGGTTTGTAACTAAGAAACAACTGGGGGGCCCCACATTGGATGATGCTTAACCCCCCCATTCTCTCGGTTCATCCGTTCATCCCAGCGCCTCAATGGGTAGAACTGACGACAAATGCACCATTCGCAGCCTGTGAGTGCCAAGGTCGGCCAGGTACTTGGGGCGAAATGGCCGGAAAATGCGGAGAAAATATGGCCATCTAATAATGTTGGTAAAGCAATGGTGAACCATCGAAATATGAATATATTATTAATATATGAGTGGTTTGTCATTGCCGTACTAACAGTACTAACATCATCATGGTTTGTCCATGATGTAAGTGGGATGGTTATATCATCATATGTGGGATGCCCTATTTTTAGACTTTAGACAAACCAAAGCCACTTGTTAGTGGATGATTGACAGGGAAGAAGCTGCTGGAAACCAGATGGACTTTGAGCCATGATATCACCAGTTGCATCAGCTCAAGGGGGATCTTTTTCGCAATTCAAAGAGATTGAAACATATTGAAACTATAGGAATTCAACAACATACGAGCCATGGAGAACTTGCTCCATGTAGTTTTAGCTTTAAACAATCCACCCTGTGAAGCAGTCACCAAGACACAAATTCAATGTCTAACACCACATTTTCATGGCCATTTGGATGTGTCATGATGTGTCATGATGTGTCTGAAAATGTGGCATGCCATGGTGTGCCTCCAAATAGCTGTCATCCTTGGAATTTGGGATACCATGGGATAGCCACAAGCCCAGGAGCCAGGATCTCTCCGGCCCCATCAGACCATACCACCATACCAAGGCGCAAAATCCACAAGCGCTTCTGGCCTCATGGCAGTTGTGATGTAACCACAAAAAACGATCGGCAAATCGAGGTGATCATTGGCAAACGACCTTATGTTGATGAATATCATATGAATCATATGGATGACTATGGCTGGATCGTCCAAAACATCAAACATTCCGACCATTCCAACCATTTCGGCCATAAAATCTCCAAGTTTCAACCAGCAAGTGACCATTCTTGACCAAAATCCACAGGTGCTATGGAAATTTCGACAGATCTCCAACAACAAAGGCAACCACAAAAAAAAAATGGTAGACTTTTTCGGGGTGTCGCTCCAGTTACGTAAAAAAAAACTGGGGGTCTGGCTTTCAGCGACCAGGCGCTGCAAGGGGCCTTGCAATGGGGCCTAAGTTGAGCGATTTTCCCATGGAATTTCTTGGAAATTGCAATGATGTGTATTGATTTATTGAATTGGGACTGGTATTGTCATTCCCACATTCTCCATGTACAGAACTTGTTGCAAACATTTGACATTTACAGTAGCCAATAATTCATTCAGAAGTACTTTCATGTAACAACAAGCACACGGCCGGGGCATCACAGCTAGGAGCCGGTACGTGGCCGTTGGCCAAAACTGCTAAGGCTTTACCGCCTCAAAACGGCTCAGGATTGGATTGAGGGGAAAATCTGTGAGAAACCTGTTTTACCAGCGACCTCCGTGTCAGCTCAGACCTGATCAACTGGATTAAACTGCTGGTTTCACCAACATGCAGATGATGTTGCATAATAAATACATATATAATATAATAAATATAGTATATATATATATACAATAATATATATATATATAATAAATTAAAATATATAAAATAAATAAATATATATATATAATAAATAAAAACATATAAAATATATAAAATGTATATCATATATATCATATAATAATATATATATAAATAATAAATATAATATATATAATATATAGAATATATAATATATTTGAATATATATAATATATGATATATATATAAATGATATATAATATACATAATGTATATAATATATATATATTATATAATATACATAATATATGTAAGATATACAATAAAAAATATATATAATATGTCTAACATTTAAATAATATATATATATATATTATTATACTATATTAAATATATATATAACATATATTTTTTAAAAATATATCAAATATATAGATTTTAAAGAATATATCAAATATATATAATATATAGAATAAACAATACATTATATATATATATATGTACAATATTTAAAATATAATATATATATATATATTGAATATATATATATATTAAATAATACATATAATATATTAAATATTATACATATAATATATTAACAAATAATAATGTATATATATAATCTAAAAACAATATATATATATAATATAATTTCAAAAGAAATATATATATATATATATAAATAATATAATATATAATGTATTTGAAATCAAATATATTTAAACAAAATATATATCGAATATATAATGTATATAACATATATTATATATATAATACATACAATTTATGAAATTATAAAACATGTAAAATCTAATTTAATATAATACAAATAATGTACAATATATATATACATATATGTCTAATATAATGAATTATATATATATCAAAAATATACATAATATAAAATATATGATATATTCTAAATAATATATTAAATATAACGTACATATGTATAATTATATCTACAATAAATACAGTATATAATATATATAAAAAAAAAAATAAAATATATAAAAACATATATAAAAAATAAAATATGTAATATACAATCTATAATATATAATATATAATATAAAAAAAATAAAAATAAACATAATAAATAATACATAATATGTAATATATAATACAAAATAAATAATAGAGAATAACAAATATAGAATATAAATTATTTAATATAAAATATGAAATATGTAATATATAATATATATAATATATAATATACAATATATAATATATACATAAATGTAATATAATACTAATACTCATAATGGTGATAGTAATAATTATATATATATACCTTCAACTTGAAATACAGAAATATGAAGCTTCCGGAAGGTTCGTTTCAACTATCATTTCGGCTGAATTCCCGACCAAAAATCAAAATCACATGTTTTCTATGTGGTAGCATCCACTGAGGATCATCCTGAATTTGTTGCAATTCTCCATGATGAACAATTCCATCATTTTTGCCCATCAGAATAGCAATTTTAATATATTTTAAAGATTTTTAATGGATCTCCTCATTTTTGGACAGACCTGTTTTCTTTTTTGTGCTTGAGTGCAACTGCTTGCTTTCATACACCACAAATTTGCTTCAAGGTATAAAGTTAACGCGCCAAGCACTTGAAAACTCACAGAAACTGGTATTCCCCTCATTTGAAACCATCTAAATAGGAAAATCAGAGTGAACTGATGCTATGTTGGTGAGCTTTCCACTTCCAGAATATTCTCTTCCGCCTCATGATAAGTAAAATTCAACACCTCGTGGGATACCAAAACGAATAGATCCATAGCACAGGGCACCTGCAACGTGGTTTCTGCATGCGACAAAAAGGGCCCCCTGCAATCTTCATCCGCCAAAATTTCCGCCTGCAGAGCATGGAATTAACACCTTGAAGAAGGGGCTCCTTAGATACAGTAGGTTGGTGATGGTGGTTTATAGCTGTAGGATCATTTGAATTTTTGGGTGGTATAGATTAACATAGATCTATCTGTATACATATTATTGTTAGATGGGTTTATGACCTGAAACTGTTTCAAAAGTCGTGGTCCCTTCTAACGGAATTTTTCCAATAATTGGCAATGACCATCCAACTTCTGCCAAAGCAATGGACAACTTTGAGAATTGACATCATGGGAGTTTGGGACTCTGTTTTTCAAGTTCGCCCAAAGTTCATCCATTGGAAGTCTTGAATCTTGTTAATGTCACCTGAATGATGAAAATCCTCAAGATATTGGGGAGTATAATTTGACCCCCTTTCTTTCATCAACCAGCAGGGGTCTTTTTTACATAGCTCAGGCAGGGGGTTTTGACCCCCTATGGAATAACCAATCAACCATCATGCAATGATAT